TTTTAAGTTCCTAGAAGTTAAACTTCAACATTAGTTTCTAGACGGTAAGAGAAACGTCAACTTCAAGGGCTAATTTTGGAACAAAAATGGACGACTTTCGAGCCGATTGCAGCAAATATTTTTTATTTTATAGATTTTTGTTCGGATCAAAATGAGGAAACATCAATCATCTACGCCATTGTGTATGAGGTCTCGCGACATTTTCTCTGGAATATTAAAGACTTCTAACACAAAACTGTCGTTTTTGACGGCAGTCTTGGGTTGCTGGACAAGGTTCATTCACGAGTACCGCCCGGAGAGTTTTCTCATCGAAGGGCTTTAGCACAGAGCTCGACCTTTCCCGCTACAAGCTATAGCCCAGAGATGGAGATTTCTCGCCAAAGGGCTCTACTTATAGAGAATTTGTTGCGAGATGGTGTGAATGATCCAGTAAGCTGCTGCAGAAGAACATGCATGGTGAAAGATGATGCTGCCACGTCTGGCATTGATGCTGATGCTGATGCTGGGACTTTGGGAAATGATGGAGGATGAATAAAGTGAGTGCAATTATTGTCTTCATGCATGCATACGCTTGAATACCTATTCAGTGTCATTCATAAAATCTGCATCATATGGGAAAAACTTTCGATAATGATTTATTTCGAAATTCGACTTGGGCGTTAAGCTTTGCCTAAAAAAATATGAAAAATGGACTACTCGGTCGGAGTCACGTGATTGTCGCTACATATGTAAAATATTACATTATTTCGAATTGTAGCGAATGTCACGTGACTCCTACCGATTAGGCCATTTTTCATTTGTTTTAAAAGGATTAATAGATATTGTGCCTATTTTCCGAAAATTAAGGTTTATCGAACCTATCCACAGCCTCCACAGGTAATTCTAATCCTTCAGGTTGGAAAAGTAGGATGTATATAAGTTTACGCAAGCCAAGGTTAGTTTATTTCATTGTACCAGTATTTCACCTGACGAAGCTACTGTGTTAGCGAAACATGTGTGACTAAAAAATTTGTGGAAACCTCATCGCTTGTGAAGTTTTTACATTTGCTATGGATTTCCATCAAGTAACGGCCGAGGTGAAACGAATTGCTTAAAATTTTTGTGGTGATTGTATCTTAGAACAATGAAGTATTTGCATAGTGAACATTTTTGCGGGTTGCGGGGGAGGGGGGGGGGGTTTAAAAAGGCCTCTATTTGGTAAAAGTATGTAAGAGTCGGATTCTATTCGAAATTGATATCTGGGGGTTTCCGGTGTCGGAGATAATGATTTTTTCGTCAAAATATGGGAATTCGGACAGAATTTGGAAATTCGAGATGGCGGAACCAATATGGCGGACGAGTTTTGTAATTATAATTCGATTCTATTAAAAATTGGGACCTAGGGGTTTTCGGGATCAGAAATTATGATGCCTTTATCAAAATTAGTAAATTAAAGATGGCGGATCCAATATGGCGGACGAGTTTTGTAATGAAGATCCGATTCTATTCAAGATTTTCATTTGGGGTTTTAGGAGTCGGAGATAATGATTATTTCGTCAAAACTGGGTTATTCAAGTGAACTAAAAAGAGTAGAAAATAAATGATATTTTGAAAAATTAAAGGATCACGCTTTCATAGATAGCCAAACTAAATGAAGTATAAAATAACATAATAAGTTTTTCGATGAATAGTAAACTGACGAAATATTTTGTACAAATAATGTATCTAGTAAAACAAATTTTGCGGGGTCAGCTAGTTACTAAGTATTAAAAGTTTTCCCCATATGATGGCAACCTCATGAATGGCACTGTATGTACTGTAGAGGTGATAGTCGGTGTGTAGCTACGATTCGAAAATGTCATATGTATATGCCTACATGGCGATGGATAACGGTAATATTCATTAATTATGGAAAATTTTATGTTATATTATCTAGGGAAATAAATAGCTATCAATCAAATGCAATCAACGTATTTAAACATTTGAATCAATTTGATTGAATTTCAAAACTATTGACATATCAATGTAGAAGGAAAACTTTTTGCTTCCATATTCCAATTAAAATAGCTATACCTCTACAGTACAAATAGGCGTGCTCTGCTATTCAATATAAAGTGGTCAAAAATAGAAATGGGACACCTGATGAAATTTCATTCGAATTTGAGTGTTTGTTTGTTTTGGATGTCAGAACGTTTTTAGCCTTCTTCCATTTTGTTCAGGTTGGTTTTAGTCATACATATAGAGAAATTATACAAAGTGGTATATTGGAATGTGCAAATTCGACTAAATAAATAGTAGTTTGAGAAACTAAAAAAACACGCTTTTATAGATAGCCGAACTAAAAGGAAGTATTAATTATTTTCTATTTTTTAGTTAGTCTAACTACAAAAGCTTGTTTATCATATTTTTTTGGAAGTACCGCCCCGCAGTGAAAGTGGAAACTTTATTTCATACGAGTACTTTGGTGGAAGACACTACCGTCTCTCTGGATGTAACTATTTTTCTTTTCATATCATGAGAGTATAGTCGGTGCCAGACGACACTGCCGTAAATCACTCATCCTGAAGATCCTGATCAGGGTAATGGAACAAAACTATTAAATTATGCTATTCACATCGGATCTTGATGTGTGTCCAATTTTTTTTCAATATAGGCCAATTTACTTTAGTATGAAAATCAATGTTACTTTTTTGGAGTGTGCCACATTTTGATATTTCAAAGAATGACTAAATCAATTATCTTACTTTTTTCTAACTGCAGTTTTTTTAATAATTTTCCTTGGGTTTCGGGTGCTTCTCCATACTACTCGTTTATGATGTTGAAATCATCATGTTTTGCTCGTTTCTACCTCATTTGTGTTCAGTTATTTACTACAATAATCATGTTCACCAATTCGCAAGCTCTTCATCATATGATTCGGGAGCAGGTAATTTCCAAATTTCAGTTCAGGATTTCTGATGAAAAGAACTTTATTCGAGAAAAAAATAAATGAATTTGAAGATGACCAATAAAGTATGCGAAGGTGATTCGTAAACATGTTTATTTTGTTCAATAACTCAACACAAATATATCGTGAAAACTTGCAAAACATGATAATCGTCATAATCATAAACAAGTATGAAAGAGCACCAAAATGAAATGGATGTCTCGAAAACCAAGAAAAATTATAAAAACACTGCAGTTAGAAAAAAGTGAGATAATTGATTTTATCATTCATCGAAATATCAAAATGTGGTCAGTGCCGTAATAAAAAAAAAGGTTATATTGATTTTTATCGAAGAGAACGCGAAATACTTAACTCCCTGTATGTTGATTGAATCGGTACATTCACTATAGTAAATTGCCTTACGAATTTTAGAGCAGTACCTTTCAAGAATTTCGAAATATTAAAGAAAATCTGGAAACAAAATTGTTCTTCATCGCCTTCACGGCACAATAACGGTGCCTTTTCGTTGATTCAATCGGCCTATTTTGCTCTCTAGTTCACCCATATGGTACCTTGTTCTGGGACACCTTGTTCAAAATGCGGCAGGTAGCCCTATGGCAATAGTATTAGTTAGAGAACGAGAGGGAATCGGTAAATCAATTGAAGATGTTTCTCGAGTCAAATTATCATTTTTCCTGTATTTGAGACGCTTTGACTAACTATCAAGAAATAGACGTTCTCGCTAATTTGTTGAAGGTAGAAATCGGCAAGAACCGACCCAAGCAATCGAAAGACAATGTAACAAAACTTTCATTACATGTAAAGACCATTCAAATCGGTTCTGACATTCGAATGAATTAACTGCTCAAATTCGAACGAAATTCCCAGGTATCCAATTTCATTTCCTGCTCACTTCCGATTGGTGGTCAACATTAAGCTGGGAGTTGTAGCGTCCTGCTGTTGTCGCCGTGACAATTTTGTTGGTTGGTGGGCTAGGATTACTAGCACTTACTAGACTGGACACCTATCGCCTAATCGTGTCGATAGGAAACATTCCTGTCCCGTTTGAGCATCGCTTCTAATACATACTTGATGTCCATGTTAGGTGCACTAGTGTTGGCCTCTAGGCCCTAGTTGGGTATAGGATGTTTCAAAAATAAAAAGGTGGTCGACAATAGTTGAGCAACATTTTGTTGTTTGTGACGTAATTTTCAACACCGCAGGTAATGCAATAATAAATCAAACGTAATTTATGAATCATCTTCTCGAGTAGCTCGACTTTACATGATAACGTGAGGAATCAAAGACCCAAATCCACTTCCTGCGAAAATGAAAGTTATCTGAGGAATTCAGAAAAGTATACCAAAATGAGACTCATTCGGTGTACTTTTGCCCGAACCAGCTCAATTGATTGCCTGAAAACTGTAGAAATGGAAACAGTGGAAGCTGATCTGGTGGCCAATATTCCTTGTTTTTGTCCATGTCAACTGTAGGTTCTAGAAACACTAGAATTGCCTTGAGTTCCAAAATCATTTCCTTCATACGTCACTGGCCACCTAGCTCGTAATTAAACGATTGCTAGGTGTCTATCGCTATTACCGAGTACCTCCACCATAATTTGAAATAAAAATTACAATAATTACAATACGATTATGTCGATCTCACACAAAGCTATATGTATCTCGAGAGAAAAAACTAACTAGCCCACGAGGACAAATTTCTTCTGAAGGGACCGACTAACGAAACGAATCATTTGAACTATACCTACTATACCTATTAATCAATTGGGAGTGTCAATAAGTTTCGATGACTTTGTGTCTTTTTTGTATACCGAAAATTTTATTGGTTCTCAGCTCGATTCTCATATACTTTTTTCCATATTTTCCAAAATTTTGATTAAAATGTCAATTGTAGTAGTACCTATACTTATCTTATGGCTACCCCAAGATGAACTTATTCATACTTTCCTATTCAGACCACCTTGAGTAGTTTCGGTGTTTCGCCGTCTTGTTCCATTCCTCGATGCGAAACGGATGTAATTTCCTAACCATACTAACTTAAACCTCAAACTCGGATTTGGAGCCTGACACTAGAATATTGAATTTACTCACCGCCTTCATCTGTCATGATTAGCACTGTAGTGTTGGGCCCAAGTCCTTCGGGATTGAATACCTGAACAGTGACGTAGTACTGGGTCCACGGTTCTAATTGAGTCAGCAGGTGATTCTGCAAGAAAATAAGGCATCACATGTCATTTTAGCCAAACTTGATTACCACGGGAACCCGTCTATGCCACATTAACAGGGTGTTCATTATATCTGATGGACCGAATGGAATTTTAGGTTACTGCCTAGTACATTATTACATGCCGAGGAATGAGATTTACCGAGGCTCTGAGCACGTGTGTCTTGCCAATGGTCAAAGATTCCGGTTCGTGTAAAGATATCTTGATCTGTTTTCGGTTCGTGAACGATGTGTCACTAAGCAGATCGCAGCTCTCATTTTTATAGACAATCAAGTAAAAAATGATTTATCATTCATTATCCAATGTCCTCTCTGGTCCATGTGTATTTGTGCAGTATTTTTTTTTGTAAATGATTGTGGAATGTGTCAGAATCTTAATTTCAAATTTATATCCATTATTTGACCGTGGAGAACGGAATTTTTCTTGTTTTATTTTCTTATCTTCGAGATCAGGTCACCCTAGCTATTTCCAAATACTGTATGCTCCGTTTCGTGAAAAAGTGTAGTTCATGCACTGGCGGATTAGGGCTTGGAAACCAAATGCATGCATTTGTGGAAAGTTTTCTACGTAAAAAATGAGCTCTCCTATAATTTTCTTGATACTTATTGGTGATGCGTATTCCTTCATTTCATTACGTATTTTATTGTAGGTTTTCTAAATATTGTGTCATATTGTTCGACGATCAATATTATTAGTGGTTGATTTCGTTGTTTGACTATTCGTTTCTCGAAAATAAGGCTTCGATTATTTTGTATCTTCTAGGTCGGGTCGATGTATGATTGAATATATTCGTGAATAAATTGATAATGATAAATTGTCACGGGCAAGTAGTTACGTATTTTTCAATTTAGAACTCGTATTCTGGCGTAGACATGTGGTGGGGATTTTCATCGATTTCTTTCTTTCCATAAATGAGCTAGAATTTTCTGAGGGCATGTTGTGTGACTTGGCAAACATCATTATATATTTCCCTGTAATTGGTCCCCGGATAACGACCGCAACCTCTAGCCACGTATGCCACCCCTTAACTGTATTTGACATTATATCTTAACTGGTCCTTAAGGAGTTATCGATTACACGGGAAAGTAAATCCTATCTTCCAAAATAGTAGTTAGATGATTACACATGAAGTGACCAGATTAAATGAACTTCCTACCGTAGATACAGGTACAGGGTACCCTAAAAAGTCAACTGCATCCCTTGAAGAGGGCTGATGAGCCAGCTCATGACTAACCAGACTTTGTGTTTCGTATGTTTTCTTATGAAATTACCGGGATCACTTTGAGATATGAATGATTTTCATGATTTATAAAAGTATAAAGTATCTATTATTCATGTTAGCGGCATGTATATATGTTAACTCGATTCAGAGAGGTCACGTGCACAAAACTCGGATCACCTACTCGTGACGCAGGGTATAACATGAAGTTATAAGGTAGGATACAGAAATCGCGACACACACTGAATGGCGCTGCCATCTATAGTCACACGTACAGACCCCTACGTCTATACGCTACAGAGTGGTACTACAAGTAAAACACTCTGCTGACAGATGGCACTACCTGATATACTTGAGTTGAATTTTTCTACCACCTATTCAACTGCTAGATCTACTCGTGTTCAACGTTCATGAACGTATTAGGTTAAAAACACAGGATTTAATCTTTTTTCTGTGGCTTCGTGAATTCGATAGACGAAAGAAAATGTTCAAATTGTAGGTACCAAAGTACTTAGTCGATATGGTTACATTACGCACATTATTTTCTTGGCTCTTTAAACCACGAACTTCACATCACCCAAATTCTCCTCTATAGGCATTACTAATTCAAATTATGGAGATTAAAAAGAAAATTTATATCACCGATCGAAATTTTTTCCAACATGTATACTATTTTATCTACTTACTGAATCGGAAGTATGGGCGTTTGCTTCCTCATTTAAGGAAACAAAGTTGTCAAATTACTCTCACGGGAGGAAAAAAATATTAACTCCCGTGGAGGTGAAATGAATTGGCTACAGCAATCAGCATGCATCATTTGGTGTCGATATACCAATGAAATCTGTGCAATCCAAGTAATCAGTGTCAGTGTCGCATGCGGTGTCTTTTGTGACTGGCGACCATGCTTGAGTATCCCGAAAAATCAACCCGAGTCAGTGATCGAGTTAGCGACACTCAAGTTTTCGAACAGAGGTTTAGGCAACCGAACGTTCAGGTTAGGGATTCGATCAACTATTAACCCGAGTAAGTTTCCGAAAAAGCCTATATCATAATGTCGTTCTTGAAAAACACAAGCTAGGACTTGATAGTAGGTACGCTTAGCCATCGTGGCGTATCCGTTTTCCGCTACGAAGAGAACAGTCGCTAGGAAAAGAAGGGTCTTCAGATATCAGTTCTGATTTATCAAGCAATATAGGCCTTACATCTATCACATGAGGCATGACCGTAACATAATCTTCGGAATTGTTTACGCGAGGTCGCGAGGTAACATGTTTCGACAATGTAAATAATCTTACCGTTACTGTGGGATCCCTGAGATAGATCTCTTTGTTGTCCTCCGGCCTGGTCCTCGGTTTGTAAGAAATTCGGTATCCGAGAAATTCACCGAATATCGTGTCTGGGGGAGGGGCCAACCAGCTGAAGTACACCGAGCTAGCGGATTCGTTTTTTGCGTTTGTGATAGTCACATGTCCTGCTGGTACTGAAAATTTTTAAGAAACACGATCAGCACTTCATCAATATGCCCTAATACATGGTGTCCAAGAATAACGTTCTTAAACCCCGCTAGGTAATTCTACAGATAAAAATAAGTAAAAAATGTCCCTTTCAACATCCTAAGGGCGCTAGAGCCCATTGATTTGAATGCAATTACCTTCGTTACCATTGATCCTTGGAGGTGCGAAACTCGTTACCGATCATATAAAAATGCCCCACTTTGTTTCACGATTCATCCCATTTTTAGTACCAGAATATGATTTTTCAAACACTTTCACATAAAAAAGGTACTCCTGTTGAAATGTAGTGAAACGTACCGTTTTCGAGAAAAGTGTTAGTTTTCATTTTGATGCCCGAAAAAATTCACAATAATTTTGACCGTTCGTTCTTATTATAGAAAAAGTGGAGCTTGATAATTCAAATTTTGCATTTCCAGGTGGTTTCGTTTTATGAAAGTTGAACGTGATGTTGATTTGTTGAGAAAATATCCGTAATGGGAATTTGCGAAATTTCACAAAATGTTAGGTGAGATTCTTCTCATATCAAAATGAAAAAGACACTTCTCTCGAAAACGGTTTGTTTTACAGCATTCTAACAGGAGTGCCTATCTTATTTATAGAAGTGTTTGAAAAATCATATTCTGGTACTAAAAATGAGATAAATTATGAAAAAAAAAACTTAGGGCATTTTTATAGCAGCGGTTACACGAGTTTCGCACCTCCCTGTATATTAAATCATGTTTTCTGTTCCACGAAACTATTTGTGAGTTTGAATTATTCTCAGGTACAAAATTCCGTGATTCTGTTGGATCAATGGTGACAAACAAAATTGAAGGAAACTGCATTCAAGGACCTATCTTCAAAGGGCTGTACCGTCCTTAGGAATCACATGTTGGTAGGAACATTTTTGCAATTTTTACCTGCAAAATTACCTTCTGGAGTATATGAACGTTATTCTGGGTCACCCTGTATAGGTTGTCTCTCTATTTATGAATTTGATGGAGCCTTTCCACTATTTACAGAAGCCTAATAATGAAAATCAGCGTATATTATGAACGATCGATAATATAGATGGATAGTTGCTACGGCGTTTTTCTGAAACAACATCGTCTGTTGTACATACATAGAATACCTTCTTCTTAGAAAAGAAAATATTTACGAAACATTGACAAATTTTTATCAATGGGTACCTATTCTATATACCAGTACTTTGTTACTATATCGTTATCCTATACTGTATAGTACAAACCTATCACGATGTTTTTTTGGTTTCCTATCTCAATGCAATTATTCGTCTTTCATGCTGGAAGTAGCAGTACGAATTATATCAGTACGCAGCCATTTCGTTCTTATCAGCAATCATTTTTTGCTAATGAATTCTAAATGGGTTTCGCACCGTTATTTTTGTAATCACGAAAAGAAAATGGGACAGTTCGTGTTGGATGTAAATGCAGAAGTGCCTCCAGCCGGGAACTTTTTTGAATGAGACAAGAGTATCACGTAAGTCTCGATAATTGATCAAGTTTTATATTTCTCAGCTGTACTCGACGATCTAATTGAATCGAGTTCTCGTCGTGCAATTTACAGGAATCTCGATGATAAAGTGTAGGATACTTAAGAGGCGAACTATATATAAGCTTTTGTCATGCTTTAAAAAAATATTGGAGATGCATAAAACACCAGTATTTTATCAGTTTGAGGAATTTTTTACATCTCTTCAAATGAAGGACTTCCTCTTGCGAGGGTCATGACGTACAAACAATCTCTCAATTAAAATATACATCTTTTGTATCTAGAAAACACATCGAATTAATTGAGCGGAATAATGCACAAAATGATTCGTATAGCGCTAGTGATACTCCTTTGTTGTATCCGCCTAAACCGACCAATTCATTTGATTCATCGACTCCCGAATTTTGGAGACAATAAATTACGAGCGCGTAATAAATAAAGAGTTCACACATGTGGAGTTTCCCAAACAAGGCGAGTTCCCAACTCAGTACGCAACTGAGTGAAAATTTACTATATCGCCCTACGAATCCACCCCCTAACGTTAATCTAGGAACAGACATTGCCACTAAAGCAGGGTTGTCTCCATCCCAGATGCAAACTATTTCTGAGGGAGATATATGTATGTAGGTATAGGATCTTTGAAGGGCCATTCTTCATCAGAATGCGCATATACGGAACGACGGGACACTGAAAGAACGTGACAATGCTTTATTTTTTATTACAGACTGATATTCCTTCTTATCCTGGCATACCTACTCCCAATGCAACCGATTTCATATATAGCTACATATAGGAAACATTAGTGAAATGTCGTCGTGATTTGGCATGATACTCGTCTGTTGAAAATAGTTGATCGAATCGAATCTAATCGATTATTTGTGATTCTTTTTGAATTATCACTTTGATGGCTGGCTGTCTCCTTATATTTTGACCTCTACCAACAACTTTAACCATACGAGGTGGAAAAAACTGCAGATATTATCTGTACTATCTTATGGCATTCCTTGAACAAACAAATGCGAATCGCAAAATGAATAAAAAAGAGTCCATATCAAAGATCTTTTTCTTCTGTTCACAAATATATATATTTTGCTGATGTTCCCTTGAGCCGTTTTTTATTTATTTAGCTTTTACTATATTGAATCAAAATTGACAATAGGTGTAACATTCTGATGGCCGTGAATAGGGCTGCTCGAAATTTTGGATCGATATATCGATTTTTTTCCCACGCCTAACTCAAAATAATCTTTTTTATTCAAACCAAAGGTCATAAAATCTTCAACCAAACTAATTTAATCAGCATAAAAACTACCTACCTACCTACGCAATATATTTTCATGTCTGAACGAACGTTTGAAAAAAGGAAAGTTTGAAAAATATTAGACTAGTGTCTGGATATTGAGAAAGCGTCTAGGGGTCACATAAATGAAATAAATTCATTGTTTCCAATATATTGAGAAGAAATCGATAGTTATCGATATATCGATATTTTTATATATTTTTATTAAAACTGCGAATCCTGCATTTAGTGCAGTTTGCATATCGGATTGGAAAATGAGAAATACTGGAATGCGATATATATCTTGGAATAAAGCTGGTTGTTGAGAAATGAAACATGCGCGGAATTGAGTTGAAACATATTATTTGTTAAAGATAGAAGGACGCGATGATTAACGTTTTCCGAAGGGTGTCTCAACAGTTCGATAAATAAGGAATGCACCCTTACACCCGAGTAAACAATGGCTTCAGCTTCTTTTCTCGAAGAGCTACGCTTTTATTTTTCGTCGAGGTATAACCCCAATTTAACAAGATTAATACCCGCTCTTGTCTTGTGCGGGATGGCAATTGATTTATCGCCATGCTCTATAGTTGCTCGTGCTTGTTCACGTGGTTTCTCCATTTTCCGATTTCAAAATTGCGTGGGCCTATAGGTAGACGAATTTCTATATAAAATATGTATTTCATATTTATTGAGATCTGAAAACGAGCTGTACGACTGTACGTGTCTCTGTACCTTACTTATTTCCCATCGAAATCGTCAGCTAAGCTCCTGAACCAAAGTACACCTATAAGTTGAAGTCTGGGAATAGCGAAATCTAAGCGCTTGTTGCTAAGCAACTATAATAGGCCTAATTAAGACCTTTCCAGTAACCAGATGAAACTACGTAATATATGTAATATTAGTCAATTTGCGGTAATAATTCCCGTATGTGAAGGGAAATAGAGCAAATATTGTGAGGATTATGTAGATTCATGACGGTTATTACGTCGTCGGCGTGTTGCATTATTTATTCTTTGAAAAATTGTTTACATTTCGGCCATAATATAAATATATAAGTATTTAAAAAATCGTTGATTTGGAAAAATATGCTTGTAACAAACAGTAATATAGAAAGGCACATCAGAAACTATTCCGGACAAAGGACATTTGAATATCACCATAACTCAGTATCCAAAATATTCAAATATTTAACTTTTTTTATTCATACTGACAAGTAAATGCATTTTTTCTTATTCTAGTTCATTTTTATCATGATGGTATCTTCGTAAACTATGCTTGATGGATTATAAAAATATACATATACAGAATGACAGAAACCGCGACTCTATATTATTTAGCGAGTATGCAACATTTCATTCAATTTGTACCGATAATTATTGATTCATTTTGCAGGCATTTCTTGACAAAAAAAGATGCAGGAACCGTTTGCAAAATGCGAATTCGAATTTCAGAATAAAAAAATAGTCGGTAGTAAATACCAAACGTTCAGTAAAATAGGCGCCGGTCACTACATTCTTCTAATAATACCACTACAAAATTGTATAATACTATGCCATATCGAATATTACCCCTACAAAATAGTATGATACTCATAGTATACTAAACTACCGACTATTTCTCTGAGTGAATATTTTTTCATTGGTATTGGAATTCGTCTACCTGCTGAATAACTCAGAAGAGATAGCTAATTCATATACAATGTGCATATTGCCATTCTTTTTCTCTTATTTTGATATTTTTTTGTGAGAAAATCGAGTTGAAGAATCGATTGGTTTTGTTTTTTGAGGTTTTTTCAGTCATATGTTCCCTATTGCTCTCCTCCCGGAGTATTTAGGTCAATGTGCATATAGTAATTCTTTTTCTCTTATGTCAACCTATTTTTTGTGAGAAAATCATGGGGCAGATTTCATTGTACATATAGCCATTATTTTTATCTATACATACATAAAGTTCACGAAGGATTATAGACTTCTACCCAAAATATGTGTACATAAAATGATTGGAGCTAGCCAATTCCCTATTTGCGAATAATTTCATTTCGAAATGTGAAGAACAGACTGACCGCACTTTCATGGCCACCAAAGTTTTTGGCCAGCGCACAAAATGTCGGAGTTTCAGGCATTTTTAGATAGACATTATCGGACCTCTTTCAGAAGACTTACTATAAAGAGTCGAGATAAATAATTATCTGTT